GAATAACAGCTCTGAAGCAGTACACCATATAAACATATTGAAAGGTTTGGAGGGTCACCATTTCTGAGGAAGAAACCACCAGCGGCTAATAAAGACCAGGTTTGATGGTGCTGCAGTTAACATTACTCCACATTCTTGACACTGATGGAACCCTTACAATTATTTATGTATACGTACAGATGTAAACAGTAGGGATATCCATTGCTTCAAAAACCATTTGGAAGAATTGCAATCACAGCCCTTCTCCGCTATTCACTTAAGCCACCCCTCTTTCGTCAGACTGCTCCCATAAGGTTCAAAACATTTTCACAATGCTGATAAACAGTACTTTATATATAACATGTAATACAATCCTAACTAATAATAATAATTATTTCACAAGTGCATTAACTTCTGCATGAAATGTAGGATACAAACTTAATAAATCAATAAATAGAAATAAATCCCTAAATAAAAGTATACACACATGGAAATCTTCTGCATGGCTACTCAGAGATAACCCTCAAAAGCTTCAGTTGAGTTTAACAATAAGTACATGTTGGTCTTTATTTTTAACGTTTATTTTTAACCTTTTGTAGCACCTAAAATGGTAGTTCAATGGAACTACATCTTTTCAAATGTGTGCTTAGGTACTGTGTTTCTCAAAGCTGCTGGGACAAAGGTTGCAGATGGAACTAAATGCAGCACGAGATGAGCCAATTTGAATGTCTACAATGAACTCACATTCCAACTTTAGACTGTAATTAACTTGAATTGCTTTGTTTATCCTCTTTCCAGAAAACATTATGATGAATTCAGAAGCCTGCATGCTATTTTTGTAGCAAGAACTCTGAAACTATTCTTTGCATCTTTTGGACGGCATCCTTATGCATAATCTTTACTTAAGTCAGTCTGCTCAGTGAGGTAACACTGGAACCCACAGTGATGGAGCTTGCATATAAATCAGGTTTAGTCCCATGAGTGTCTATATGTCCTTGAGAATATGAGCATATACATGTATGCACATATGCAGGAGAGGTTATAATTTGGTTACTTATTAATTATAATTAATTACTTATTAAGGGCTAGAATATATTACTTTACATATGTAGAACTATTCAAAATGAAACACAAACTGTTTAGTTGAAAAGGGCTTACAAAGATAAGAAATTTTAGTTAATTTAATTTTCTAAGAGTGTTCAGGAAGGGGAAAAAATCAATTGTGACACTAACTCTTAGCTGCAAAGTTATTCTAACTCACCAGAACAAAAGTAGTTCAAGTAATGAAGAAGCCAAAAATTGATGATTGCTATACCAACTACTTGTTTCTCCTTCAGCTGCAGTCTGAGAGAGTAACTGCTGATGGAAAAGTATAAAAGAAAAAAACTACTATCATAAGTTTCTTTTTTTCTCTCTGCTATAATTTGATGATTTAAAATCAGAGTTAATTTATTTTATGTACATATCATTTCAATTTCTATGGCCTTCCATTTGCCAATCACTGGTCTATCTGGCCTTTCCATGGGGTGCCAGAAACTGCCCATCCAAAACATTTATATGCTTTATATTTATATGCAATAAATAAATGCATATTTGTTATATTTAATTTTAATTTAAATATAAAGTTAAACATAACTAATTTTATTTACAGTATTTATATGGCCACCCAACTCAAAGAATGTGACTCTGGGTGGCATATGAAAGGGTTTTATTATTCTCTGGTTCAGTTCATCATTTTCCTCCTTTTGGGGCTCATATTAAAAGTTATTATTGGTATCAGCTTTTGGAGTCTCTGGAGGTACATGGAAGTCTTTGGGGACCATAGATGGATCTTACACTGCAAGTGGTATATTTCTGGTTAACATACCACCTTCAACTATATTGTCCAGCTATTTGAACTACAACTCCCATGACACCAATATAAATATAGCCCTGATGGTTGAGGATGGCAGGTATGAGTCATCAAGATCCCACTAATGTATTTACCTGATTCATTTATCTTAATGAATTATTTTCTGAAGTAGCTAGTTTTTGTTATCAGTGTTACATCTCTGCAATTAATTTTTTTATGGAACCAGAGTGAAATACTTGGAAAGAGTACATGTATGGGCACCCCACCACTGATATGGAAGATTTCAGGCAGAAGTGCTAAGCCTTCCAATCTTTACCAACTACTTTACAATGACCCAACACATATACTGTACATGTAACTCAGCCACCAAACTCAGAGCAGATAAAATGATATCTACAGCATCTGCAAACTTGCTCTACTTCTTGCGTCTTTATTCATGGTTGTCTAATTCTTCCTACACTGAGTCCTGAAATGGGGCTCAAAGAGATTAAAAAATATCAACTGCTTGGAAAAGACAGTGGAAGAGGCCCAGCATTCTCCTGTCCAAAGTTGTGAATTTTCTGGATGGCTTGTGTGACACAGGATGTTGGACTAAGGAACTCTTGACCTGACCCATCAAGGTTCCTATTTGTTCTTATTTTCACTGCATTAACTGGCAAAAATTTCTGTGTTTTAAATCAAATAATAATATTTCTGAAAGTGTCAAAGTATTTTTACATTAATTTATGGTGGTCTATGGCTGTAATAAAGATTTGATTTACATTAATTGTATAGTTCCTTATAAGAAAATTATTGCAGGTAGACATATTCCTGACGATGCAGTCAGATATTGAAATATTCCAGTATTTCCTCTACAAATAAGAGTTTACACCTGAGTTTGACCATTAGCTCATCAATATCACAATTTGATATAATCAGCAAACACCGTATTTACAATAGATGGAAAATCTCTTGAACATTTATACCAATAGTACAGTATGTAGTTTCCTGACGCACATAAATTGTGCGTATTTTCCTTTAGTAGTATTCCACAAATAACACTGGTAGCATCATACCTTTGAAAAATATTGTACTGAATAAGGAACAGAATCCACAATTGCTCAAAATACCTTTAATCAAAATAACAGGATTTTTAAAAAAGAAATCCAGTTTCAAAATAATATATTTTTTGATAGGCTTTGGAGGTTGTGCAGATTTACAAAGATGGAAAGATTTGGCAATACCTACAATGGAGGAATGGTTGGTGAAGATGACAGAACTTGCTGACATGGCCAAATTGACCTGTTTGATTAGAGAAAAGACAATTATCTATGTTTATTGCTGACTGGAAACCCCTTATGGACTTTTTGTGTAAAACAGAAAAAAGTGAACTTATGATTTATGGTTTTAATTATCAGACAGGATACATTATAGAAAGAAGAGTCATGATGTAACTTTAGAGAAAGAGGTAAATTTATAATTGTACTTATAACTGCTGTAAAGATCAGAAGCCACTTGTTTTTTTTTCTTTTCTATTTTTCTTTTACCTTTTCTTTCTTTCACTTTTAGCAGGTGGACTCCATTCAAGGTGTAGAAACAGCTCAGCAACGATCAAGAGAAACCTGAGCTAAATTTCAAGTGCTGTTGCAAAGGGTCTGAATACTTATGCCAATGTGATATG